TGTTCAGGTGAATGAGCCCCTGATGTTGTGATTCATGTTGTTGGGTCCTCTGATGGTGTCGCTAGAGAGGATATGGGGCCAGAGTAGGCAACGGGGCTTGTTACAGGGATTGGTTCCTGGGTTAGTGTTTCTGTGGTGTGGTGTGTAGTTGCTGGTGAGTATTTGCTTCAGGTTGGGGGGCTGTCTGAAGCAAAGACTGGCCTGCCTCCCAAGAGAGTGAGGGATTGTTTTCCAGGATAGGTTGTAGATCGTTGATGTGCTGGAGAGGTTTTAGCTGTGGGCTGTACGTGGTGGCCAGAGGCGTTCTGTTATTTTCCTTGTTGGGCCTGTCCCGTCGTAGGTGACTTCTGGGTACCCCTCTCGCTCTGTCAATCTGTTTCCTCACTTCCCCAGGTGGGTATTGTAGTTTTAAGTGGGTAGGTGAAGTTCTGTGGTTTGCAATGTACAGGAGGTCAGACTAGATGATCATGATGGTCCCTTCTGACCTTAGTCTTAATGTAGTCTCTATATGCTGCTCCCTTTTTGTTTCTGGTGATTTGTGCAGTAATCTCCGTTTTGTGTACTGTTAGTAAATGCTGTAAATAGAATTTTCTTCAAAAAGTCATATTTATAGGAATCTCCTCCAAATCACCTTCTGGTAGCATGTTACCCAAGAAGGAATCTGTGTAGTACAATAGGAACTGCTCTGCCTTACTTCAGCTATGCAGACAGGACAGCGTTTGAATTTAGCATGTTGGAAATCATTGTCTCATCTCATGGATCCAGGGAGATTGAACACCAAGAGTGCAAAATGATGTGTCCCATACAATGGAACATAAGTCTTAGCGCACAGACACAGTCTTTAAAGATTAGATGTGTTTAAAAGATTTACTGTATTCAATCAGAAGTTATTGGGCTAGATGTAGGGATCCTTGGGTGAAATTCTGTAACGTATTATGCAGCAGGTCAGAGTAAATGACCAATAATGGTCATGGTCCCTTTTCACCTTAAAATGTGTGAATCTTTGAATAGGCAGCACTGTATAGTTTGTTTTTATTTGTGTTTTTTTTTTAAATCATCAGCACTTTGCCAAAGAGAATTGGTCTGCATGGGGCAATTTTAAAATAGCATTGTAAAATAGGCTAAAGGTGTGCTAGATAGCTTTTCTGAAGTGAAGCAGTGCATGTTAGTTGTCAGAATTTGAAGACTTTTGTCAGTAATGGTGGGAAATATCAATGATAAACATGGTTCTGTTTAGGACCAGGGAAATCTACAAAGTCTGTAAATTATTTTCTCTGATGTCAAACCAGTTGAGAAGCAACAAAATCTGACAAAAGGCCAGAGTCCGGAGGAATGATTGTGGTTTGCATCTATTATTAGGGTTTATTTTGCACCTGAGAAAATTCAGCATTTAAATTGAGTTTGCCTTCAAATTCAGATTTTTGATTAGGCAAGTATTTTGAAAAAGAATGTAATGTATAGGCCAAATGATTGATGACTGTGCTGCAAGAAGCAGCAGACTTGTTCCTTTATAAAATGCTCTAGAAAATATTTAATTTTCTTTTGTCCATGATACTGCTTGATATAAGTAAAGATATAAGCAGTTACCTTTGTCACATCTCATCTTACCTTGATTTTATGTCTTTCCAGCAGATTGCCAAATTGAGGCAGCAGCTCCAACGCAGCAAACAGAGCAGTCGTCACAGTAAAGAAAAAGAACGTCAGTCACCACTCCATGGCAACCATATAGCAATCAGTCAGACTCAGGTAAGCAGTTCACTGCTAGTATCAGCTAACCTTTTTTTTTTTTTTTTTTTTTTTTAAACAAAATTAAGAGAATAGCCTTCTGTTTCTTTCCATTTCTCCTTTGGTTCCCTTCCCGTGTTTTAAGTCATGTTGAAATGCTTAACACAGATTGATGTCATGGGTGCTACTGGGATTTTATCCCAAAATCACAATCATATAATAAAAAAGAGAACTGTGCCAAGAAAGCAACTTATGCCTCCTGTAAATGTTGAAAGATACTCTTTAAAAACTCTTCTCAAAAATACTCCTGCAGTCAGACATAGCATCAGCAAAAGGCTTCAGTGGTTGAGCTGGGACTGCTTGTTATCTCCTTATGTCCATTTGACCACTGCCAGTTAACATCCTGGGAACACTGGCTGTCTCTCACCTCCAAGGAATGCCACTGCTGCCAGTGCAGCAGCTGGGTTCTGGGAGGGCAAGCTGGTCTTACCTACCCTTGTCCTTTTCTCCATTGGATCACTGTCACTGAGATGTTTGGGATCTCTGGGTCCAGTGGCAGTCTACTTCCACATACCTCCATAATTTGAGGATGTTAAAAGATCCTCAGAAACTTACTCATCACCATGGCTAGCTGCAACATTAGCAAGGACACATCTTCACAACAACAGAGAAGGTTACGGGTGACTTGATCACAGCTTGTAAGTAGCTATATGTGGAACAAAATTTTGATAAGAGAGTTTTCAATCTAGCAAATGAAGGTGTAACAAGATTCAGTGACTGGAAGTTGAAGCTAGACAAATTCAGACTGGGAAATAAGGCAGAGGGTTTTTTTAGCAGGATGGATTGGAACAATTTACTAAGGGTTGTGGTGGATTCTCCATCACTGGCAATTTTTAAATTTAGATTGGATGTTTTTCAGCAAGTTGCACTCTGGTGCAAACAAGATTAATTCAGAGAAGTTCTATAGCCTGTGTTATGCAGGTGATCAGATTAGACGATCACAGTGGTTCCTTCTGGCCTTATAGTTGGAGCCCTGTGTAAATCACAATTTTTATTTTTAGAAAATTCACTACAGTGTAAATGATAAAGTATTTGATTTCATGGAGATTGTAGGAAATGAATTTTACAACTAAATTTAGTCAATTTGAAGGATGGACTGACCTTTAGAAGTAACACTAGTGAGTTTAAAAGATGGAATGAAACTGACTAACATTACTTATAAGTAACACACTACTAGCTGCATTTGTTCTCACGACTACTAAGTGCCCCTTTCCAATCCTCCTGTCCTCTGAACCATTGCTCCATCTCTTCTCCCCTCCCTTTGCGCTTCTATATTGCCTTCCCCTTAGATAAGCATCTAAATTGGGCTCATCCCATAAAAAAATAAGTACAGGCAGTTTCAGTTTTTCAGTGTAAAAAATTCTTCTTCTTCTTTTGTTTTAATCCTATCAAATGGGATCTGCTGTACAAGTCCTCTCCCTCCAAAGTGCTATGCTCAATGCCATATTCTCTATCACACCACACAACATGTCTTCCTTTATAACATCCCACCACTTCTTGGGCAACCTCTGTCTTTTTCCTTCTGTCTTGATCGGGAGGACTGTCTTACCACATAGTAGTTAGAACTGCGCTTTATATGACCAAAACATCTGAGCCTGTATTCCCTCATTTTATTTTCATTTATGAATGTTACATTGAGCATGTACCTGTCCGTTATATTATTTGTTGAATAGTATGAATGTCACATTGCTCTAACGTACTCATTCTTTACGTGGTCTTTCTTGCTTACACCAGTCATCCATGTCAACATTTGCATTTTTGTGGAACAGATCATTTGTTCATGTTTCTTCTTTGTTGTCCAATACTCAGCACTATACATTAAAACTGGACAAACTGCTGTTTTATAGACTTTCCCTTTTAATTTTATTGGTATCTTCCTGTCACATACTAAACCACTTATCTCTCTCCATTTGAGGTAGGCATTTATTATCCTAGCTCGAATTTCATCCTTCATTTCCCCTGATTCAAGAACCCAGATATTTGAAACTGTGTGTTTGGTATTCTCTGCCCATATAGTTTCAAGAATAATTTTTCAGTGTTCACATTATTAAAATTACATACTCTGTTTATCCTCTGCTTATTTTGAGCACGTTTCTCCAACACATCTCTCCATTTATCAGGATTTATCAGTGTACAAAATAACCATTAAAAAAAGGTGAATTGATAGTCAAGTTCTTGCTTAGACTAGAAATGTATACATTTTTTGTCGTCCCCTTCTTCCTTCCCATTGTTTGTGTCCTCACTTGTTATGGGGGTATGTCCAGATTTAGATTGACAAGGTGGATGAGCTAACATCTTTTATTGGACCAACTGCTGTTGATGAATGAGACAACCTTTTGAGCTTACACAGCTTTTCTTCAGGTCTGGGTTCGGTGTAAACTCAAAAGCTTGTCTCTTTCACAACAGAAATTGGTCCAATAAAAGATATTACTTCACCCTCTTTGTCGCTCTAATACAGGGGTTCTCAAACTGGGGTCAGGACCCCTTGGGGGGTCGTGAGGTTATTACGTGGGGGGTCACCAGCTGTCAGCCTCTACCCCAAACCCCACTTTGCCTCCAGCATTTATAACGGTATTAAATATATAAAAAAGTGTTTTTAATTTATAAGGGGGGGGGTCGCACTCAGAGGCTTGCTTTGTGAAAGGGGTCACCAGTACAAAAGTTTGAGAACCACTGCTCTAATATCCTAGAACCAAAATGGCTTCAACGTCACTGCAAACAAATTTAGGCTGGAAGCTCTTTGGGAATAGGGACTATTTCTTTCTTGTCTGTAAAATGCCCTACACAATTATGGTGTTGTATAAATAAATGTTTCTCTTTCCTTGTTCCTTAATACTTGTGAAATGTACATGGAAACAAGATCTTGGTTCTTTAGTATATCTGTTCTTTAGGGTGTCTCAAGAAATCATAAGTGTGAGTTTAATATGTCATTTCCAAAGCAGTCAATAGTGATGGCACAAACACGCATTAATGTGAAGAGCATACAGCAAAAACTAACGAACTTCGAAACAGCATTTTCAATGCTAATGTTCTTATGGCTAATGTTGCCAAAATAAACTGGAGATTGGTGGGAAAGCGAACAAAAGAAATACAAGCATAATTCTGAATTTTTTTAAAAAAAACCAACATAATCTCAAATGCAATTTTAATCTTACAATTATAAATTAATGTTTCTGTAGCCATACTAACTCTTCTGTCTTGTCTGCCTGAATTGCAAGTCTTCTATGAGATATGTAGTAATAAAGTGCTACATGCTGCGAGAGCATAGAAAAGGGTGCAGTAAAAGCATAAAACAGTACACAGTGCAATTTTGTCTTACCGTAGAAGTATAAATAGTTTTATTCCTGTTCATTATATTATTTGCTGAATACTGTGAATGTCCCATTGCTCAGTATTCACTGATCACATAATGAAAGTACCTAATATTGTGGTAACATTAATTTCCAGCCTTTAATTCACTTGTTTAAATCAAGAAGTTAATATGCCTTTCCTCAAAACCATACCTGTGTTTATTTGAATGCCGGATCTTCAAATGACTAAGTGGGATTCTCTTCTGATTTTGAGGTAAAAGCAATATCTGGAACAAACATGGGAAAACGGTGTAGTTCTGAAAATAAAGGTTTAGAATGAAAGTTTCATTTTACCTTTACTGTAAACCAGTCAAAAAAAAAAACCTGCATAAAGAGACTGTTAACGTTGCATGGCTAGGCACTCAAATGTCAGGAAATGCCAGTTAAACATGAGCATGCATTTGGGCCAGTATACAGAATAAACCAGCAGTGTCTATAGAGTAAGCATATACATGATATGGGGAAATTACAAAGAAATGGTCTGACTGGTATTTTGTTTTTTTCTTTACATTTTTCTTTTTACTTTTTCTATCTATTTGAAGGCTTTATGTTTATCAGAGGTTTTTCTCCCTTTGCATTCTGCATGCTACACCTTTGCATTCCCTAGAAATTATACAGGCCAAGTATTGAAAAGCACTGCAGTAAACTATTTCATATAAAATTCTGTTCACTTTACAAGAAAAAATAGTGAGTGGCATTAAATGTATGTAATCTTTAATTTCTGTCTTTCTAGTTTCTTAGTGGTAAGTACATTTTTTAATATTCAGTTAACAAACTAAAGATGAAAATGAGCTTCTCTAGATTTTAAAATTAGTGCATGATTCTTTAATTCACTGTCTATAGATTTTTAAAATATGATAATGACCTCAGTAATACTGACCCAATGTTTCATCTTAGAAAACTCTCCAATTTTAAAGCCTATATAATATTTTATCTCATTGACCTTGTAGGCTTCTATCTCCAGATCAGTCCCTATGCCACTGTCAAATATTTCAGTGCCAAAATCAACTGTTTCACGTGTGCCGTGCAATGTAGAAGGAATAAGCCCTGAATTAGAAAAAGTATTCATTAAAGAAACCAGTGGAAAAGAAGAAGTATCCAAGGTAAGGTTTAAATTTTTGGGGTGTTTTTACATTTTTAATGGTCAGAATTTAGTAACGTGTTGTGAGAATCTTCGAAATGACTGACGCAACATAGCTTTACATCTAGGGTTGGCTTGAAAAATTTCCGTTAACTTTTTCTATGGAAAAATTGAGGTTTTGGCTAAATAGTTTTTTTTGTGAAAAATATCTGCTTTCTACAGAACATTTCGGTTTCATCAAAACCTCAAATATTTCAGCTAAAACCTAAATATTTCCATTTCATGCTGCTGTGGTACTCCATGAGAGTTGTAGTTCAATTGCCTTTGTCTGAATTCTCCTTTGGGGGCTGGACTCCTGAACTGGACTTCATCTCCTTGGTCTTTCACCTGTCCTCACTAAGAGGGGAGACTGTGTGGTGCATCATGAGGGATGTAGACCAGGTAGGGATACTACTTGTAGAAGAGAATGGGAGCAAACTACAAATACATGGGGCATACTGCAGCAGCATTTCAGAATTGAATTATTTCCGTTAATGGACAAATATTTCAGTTTTGGTTCTCCACCGAGGGAGAAAAATATTTTCCGACTGGCTCTAGGCATGGCAAAACTTAATACAGTAAAAGCTTGTGTTGTCTGGCACTTTACCAACCTGAAAGCTCTAGAAACTGGCATTTCAGGGCACCGAATCCAGGCGGCACTCACCTCGGGCGGTTCCCCGCAAGCGGTGACATGTCCCTGCTGCTCCTAGGCTGAGGACAGCCACAGGAGCTCCGTGCGCTGCCCCTGCCCCACCCTGAGCACTGGCCCCACAGCTCCAATTGGCCGGGGACCGCAGCCAATGAGAGCTGCGGGGGCGGCGCCTGTGGGCGGAGGCAGCACCCAGAGCCGCCTGGCCGCATCTCCGCCGAGGAGCAGCAGGGACATGTCACCGCTTGCGGGCAACCGCCCGAGGTGAGTGCCGCCTGGATCCAGCACCACGAAACCCTTCCCACAACTCCACCCTCTGCCCCGAGCCCCCTACCGCACCCAAACTCCCTCCCAGAGTCTGCACCCCTTCCTGAGCCCCCTCCTGCAAGCAAACTCCCTCCCTCTTAGTTAACTGGAATTTTTAACTTACCGGCACCCCTCATTCCCCCAACATGCCAGATAACAAAGCTTTTTACTGTATCTGCTTTTGCAAAAGGTCATACAGTGGCTTTATGTACATGAGTTTTGAGGTGCCAAAACCTGGTATATATGGTCCTTCATTATGGTGATAAACACAAAAAGTAGTAAAGTAATCCTACCTTCTCCAGAGGCTTATTCAAGGCTGTTCATATATTTTGCATTAAATCTGGTCTTCCAAGTCTTGCGTTTTCTATTTAGAAGTGGCCAATATTTTGACAGTATTAAAAAAACACCAAAAATAATATACATATTGTCTTTGTGTTATCTCCTAGAGTGTATATTACTGTGCCACTGCCGATGGTTAGAGCTGTTAAAGTCAGAGGTCATTATCAATTTGTCTCATAAATACATTATTCTTGGACTCAAACATCTTATTACTGTACATGTTGGGCTTTACACTGTAAGTTGCTTGAATGCTCTGCCTCTGATCCAGCAAAGCAGTTAAGCGCATAAATGTTTGCTGGATTGGGGCCAGAGAACTCAGCAGTGACTCTATCTTCCAAAGGGCTTTCCAGATCTAGGGTTTCTTTTTGTGTCCTAAGAATCATAAGTTAGAAATAGGACCTTAGGTCTAGGACAGCCTTTGCCAGTGGAGATTTGTTGAGTATTACACCAGACTCTTCCTTGTGCTTTGTAAAGTCTAATTTAAAATGTCCCAAGAGACAGAACCTCCATCACTTTCATGCAGATATTACTCCAAGCTTAATAGACCTCACTGTTGGGAAGTTTTTACTAATATAAATACTTAAAATGAAGAGAAAAATATAAATTATCCCATTTCTTCTAGTTTTATCCCTTTATATTATCTTAAATAACTCTTCTCCCTCTTCATTTGTGAACTTCAAAGTAATCATTTAAAATAATAGCCTTGACTGCCTTTGGGAGAAGTTGGTCTACTGGCTTATTTTGCTACTATAAGAAACTAGGTGGACAAATAGTTCCAGAATATTATCTTCACTCCACTGTCCAATATAGTTATCTAGTCAAGTAATGCATATTTAACTCTTAATATTTGCTTGTATGTCAAGCCCTCCAGCTCCCTAATACATTTTGTTGCTGTATTGTGAACCTCTTCCAATTTGTCAATCTCTTTTCTCTTGTAATGAAGGTACTAAAACCGAACAAAATATTGTAAGTGCAGTTGCACCAGAGCCATATTGAGGGTGATTATTATTTTCTTGCTCCACCGCATCTGTATTTGCTGCTCAGAATTGCATTGTTCCTTTTGTCTGCAATAATGCATTGCAAATTCATGTCTACGTGGTTGTCCATTATCATTCCTAAGTTTATATGAGCATTACTGCTTTCAAGAATTCTCTCTCCTGTTGAATAACTATATTTTGGATTCTTTTTCCCTAAATGTTATAAAAAAAATCAGAAACTGCAAAAAATAAAATGCATTTTATATGTCCCCTTATATTGTTTTTGTCACTTTTTCCCCATCTCTTCCCAATTTATCTGTGGATTTTGTCGTCAAGCTCTTTATTCTGTTTTTTTTTTTTAGATCATTAATAAACTTTAAATAAGACTGGGTACAATGTAGGACCAAATTAAGCCCTGGGTACATGGGTGCAGCTCCATTGACTTCAGCTGAATTATCCTTACATCAGAGCTGAAATTTAATCCACAGATTCAGTTGGTAATCTATTAAACTTCTCCCTCAATTTGATACTTTGATATTTATCATTATATTCTGTTTACAGTCTTTCAGAAAGCCTTTTCAATCCACATGAATCAGTTTGAATTAATTAAGACTTGTGTTTGCGGGACACGCTTTACTAGCACACAAATATATTGTTTCCTGCTTTCCTTGTGCTAACTTAATTTTGTAAGCATATTTTTAAAAAATGAACAGATATGTTAGTTTGCAAGATATATTCTGTTTCACCCCAGGCTGCTTATTGCTTTTGAGTCTCTAGAAGTTAGAAATATTTTCTCTCATTATTTATTCCACTTTTTTTTTTACAAGGGATAGAAGTTAGACTTACATGATAGTAACTGCTAGGATATTTTCACTACGTATTTATACTTCTAAAAAATAATTGTTAAAGGCACAGTAACTTTATTAGTTAATTCCCTTACTATTCTAGTTGAATATAGTTTGGATGGCTAACTTGTATATTTTCAGATATTCCCTTTCCTTCTGTTTAGTAATGTGTATATTTTAATGACCCTCCGCTTTGCTTAAATATCCTAACTCTTCCTTTTTTCTTGTTAAAAACAGTTAAATATTAGCCATTTCTGAGTCCTTGTTAATATTATCCCATCCTTATTTATTAATGGACTTAATTTCTTTCTACTACTGATTCCTTTCTTAATGCTCATGTGAAAGCCCTCTATATTCCTCTTAGCTGCTGTTGGTTCTCTTCCCCCGCCCCCTTTTGGCTAGCACTAACCCATTCTCCTTTTTGCTGTCTGTTTTACCAGGAAGCCTTAGTTGTATTCTTCTTTGGTTGCTTTCTCTTTCCATTTATAGTATGAACAATGATCAGTTTCTTCCTGACAGGGGCGGCTCTAGGTTTTTTGCTGCCCCAAGCTCTGAGAGCACAACTGCCCAAGCAAAAAAAAAAAAAAAAAAAAGCCAGAATGCCGCCCCTGGAATTGTTCCACCCCAAGCACATGCTCGCTTTGCCTAGAGCCGGTCCTGCTTCCTGAAGCCATGTGTATGGATTTGGAGGCTGGATTTTGTCGTCTTAGTCTCCAGCAGATCTACAATACAAAGTGTTTGTGGTGGCTGGAGTGGAGT